CCCCAAAACCCCAAAACCCCAAAACCCCAAAACCCCAAATGACTAGGATAAATCTATGATAGTAAAAAGGAAGATTTTGTTTAAATCTGTAATAAAAAAGAGATATACGTTGGGGAAGTTATGGATCAGTTGCTTAGTGAAGAGAATAAGTTTTCAAGAGCTAAGTTTACATTGCCGTTAGTTTTGACTAGCATCTCAAGGATAACATCTTCATCATGGAATCCCATATCTTTGATTTATTGAAGCTGAGTAGCATATTTTTCTCTTGGGGTTCTTGCATCTGGTTGGGCTAGCGGCATTCCGCCCATTCCGCCCATTCCACCGAATCCGCCTCCCATCATTTATTGCATTAAAAAGGGATTCATTCCTCCGAATCCTCCCATTCCACCCATGCCACCCATGCCGCCCATGGCAGCGAATGGATTTGGTTACTATTATGCGCCGAGACCAGCTCCAGCTCCAGCACCTACTCCTGCTCCTGCTCCAGCTCCTGCACCAACATCAGCTCCTGCACCTTGGCCTACAGCTCCTGGCATTTAGAATGCAGATGGCTGGCTACCTAAGCCACCCATACCTCCCATGCCACCCATGCCTCCCATCATGGACATGGCAGCATTGAGATTTTCTGGAGTCATCATTGATCTCATCATCTCTGGGTTAGAAAGAATAGCTCTCATTTCAGGGTTGCTTTGCATCATTTAGCTGAGCATAGGATTAGAACCAATGATTTGATTTAGCATGTTAGGATCTGAAAGCATTTGCTAGATCATAGGACTGCTCATCATTTACTGCATCATAGCTGGGTTCATGCCACCAAGACCTCCCATTCCAGATGGACCACCTCCTGCTGCCATACCTGGGAAGCCTCCAAAGCCGCCCATACCTCCAAAGGGCATTCCACCTAAACCTGCACCAGCGCCTAGTCCTGCACCAGCACCTAATCCAGCACCTGCACCAGCTCCTCCTACATTAACATTTGCTTATGACTCTTATGAAGCTTAACTCTAGGATCCTGATGATGAAGCTGATTTTCCCTTAACCAAATGAACAACAACACCGTCCTCAATTTTGTATTCAGAAATTGTATTCTCGTCCTTCAAGATTTTGCCTATTCATCAAATTTATTTATAAATCATTTTATTATTAATACCTTTGAAGATCAATCTTTGCTCATCAGCTGGGACATTAGCTTGAGATGCACAAGCTTCCTTGAGCTCTCTGACTGTAATAGTTGGTTCTACTTCGACGTCGAATTATGTACCACTATTTTGCTTAATTGTTACTTTAATTGCCATTTTGAATAACCAAAGATTTATTAATAAATTACATATCATTTAACTTTCTAGAATGTACCATTCACATCCGATGATTCAGGGGTTTTGGGGTTTTGG